AAGCTTGAAAGAATAAAAGATATCTTCTTTCCCACGTCCTTACCACTTTCTATAGGGGGAACGATTGAAAGCATCCTGTCATATTATATTACTATGTGATTTGGAGGCATTACTGGAAGGAGACAGGAAGGCTGTGCAGAGAGTGGTGAGGACGGCAGAAAAGATTATTGGGAGTTCACTCCCTCCTCTCCAAGACATGGCATATAAGCGATGCTTGAGCAAGGCCCACAGGATTGTCTCAGACGCTACACATCCTCTCCATGACCAGTTTTCCTTGTTACCTTCTGGGAGGGGGCTTCGTGGTATCCGAAGCAGAACATCTAGGTTCAGTCACAATTTTGTTCCATATAGTATCAACCTGGTGAATTCTCAAGACTCTTTTTTCCACTATGTATTCTGAATGGTCTCTCTTTCCCTCCCTTCCTCCCTTCCTTCCTCCCTCTCTCTATAGATAGATAGATAGATAGATAGATAGATAGATAGATGGATGGATGGATGGATGGATGGATGGATGGATGGATGATAGATAGATAGATAGATAGATAGATAGATAGATAGAGCAGTGGTGAAATGTAAAATTTGTTACTACCGGTTCCGTGGCCATGGCTTAGTGGGGGGCTAAAGTGACTGAGTGGGCGTGGCCAACTTTTTTTTTTTAACTTTTAAAACCATCATGCAGGAAAAAATGCTTTTAAAAGCCTCTGATGCTCAGGCAACTCAGCTGGGATCGTCAGAGACTTTCAAAAGCATTTTTTTCTACAACCTCTTCAGCTGAAGAGGTTGTAGAAAAAATGGTTTTAAAGGTTAAAAAAAAAAGTTGGCCACACCCACTCAGTCACATTAGCTCCCCACCAAGCCAACAGCCTGGGGAGGCTATTTTCACCCTCCTGGAGGCTTGAGGACAGCCTCCGGAGCCTGGGGAGGGCAAAAGCACCCCCCTCCTGCCATGGTACAGGAGGCCGACTAGGCCACGCCCACCATGGCCACGCCTACCCAGCAACCAGGCAGAGAACCCCTTGCTAAAAATTTTTGAAGCCCACCCCTGGATATATGTATAAATCAGGTTTAGCAATGCTTTCTTATTTCATGCCTCCGATTTTATTTATTCGTCACACACCCACACCTCAAGCGTACTGACTTTGGCATTAAATTATTAGCAGGGGAGAAAAAAAATCATTTCTGAAATGAAGCCTCTTTACAAAGTAAATAAGTGGCTTTTTTTTTTTTATCGCTTCCATCAGTTTTGATTTTCCCTTCCAACTGCAAATCTGCAGCCTCCCATTTGGCTAAATAAGAAAGTAATTAGAGTGCTACCCTTTGTTTAGCTTATATCCTTTAGCGCTAATTACCGAGGCTCGTTTATGAGCTTCCCACTACAGAAAATAATTGCCACATGCCTCCTTAAAAGAAACAAACGATCGGCGGTCTTTTCGGGGTACAAAGGATAAACACCAATTAAAAACGGTTGCACAAGCACTTCACAAATAAAACAAGAGTGTAGCCAAGATTTTAATAAAGCAAAACTAATAGGCCATTTCGGGAATATCGCATCGGAATTAAAAGTAAAAGGAGACAATTTAAAAGAGAGAATTTCTTTCTAGTAGATCAGTTTAGTGAAGGAGAGAGAGAGTGAGGGGGAAAAAAACAAAACCCAGAGCTGTATCAAAAAATAATAATTCCACATTTCCCTTTGTAAATGTATTTCTTCAAGGAGAAAAGAGAAAAAGCAATGCATTGCTCAAAGTTTAAGAACAGCTGTTCTGCATAACTGGAAACTATTTTTTTCAGAAATGAATAGCCAAAGAATATAATTTGGCTTTGTTATCAACTCGTTTTGCATGCGAGAAACTTTTTATGCTCAGAACAGTGTCCAAAACAGAGACATTACTTTTTAAATCAAGGGCAGGGGTGAAATCCAGCAGGTTCTGGAGAACCGGTAGCGGAAATTTTGAGTAGTTTGGAGAACTGGCAAATGCCACCTCTGGCTGGCCCCAGAGTGAGGTGGGAATGGAGATTTTGCAATATCCTTCCCCCAGGGGTGGGGAGTGGGGATTTTGCAGTATCTTTCCCTTGGAGTGGGGTGGGAATGGAGATTCTGCAGTATCTGACTCAAGTTGTACAAAGTGTTGATATAGTTCTTTTTTACAATTCGAACACTTTTGCAATGTTTTTTTAATGTTTTATTATGGGATAGTTGTATTTGTAGATATGGAGGCATTCACTGCCCATCAATCTCCTTAATGTGGTAGCTTGAACTGCTGCCGACTTCTCTTCCAAGCCTGTAGCTAAGGCATAATCTTCGAACTCTGCCCTGAACTCATTCCAATTGCTACCGCAATCTCCACTCATCCTCATAGACTCAGGCAGAGGTATACTGTTAGCAGCTGCCATACTTCCACTGCTTAGCTTTCGGGAGTATGCTTCAAATGTATCCGGAAGACATGGATTCAGGCTTCTGACACCATGTTTCAAGTAGGTTTAATCATCAATAAAAAACCCTTAGAGGTATATATCTACATATGACAGGAACTGGAAATACCTCACAGACGCAGCTGAAGGCAGCTCCTCGAGAGTCAAGGAATACATCTCAAACTAATCCTGCCAAGACTGCAGACATAACCCTTGTAACAGTATCCTTCCCCCTGGAGTGGGGAGGGAATGGAGATTTTGCAGTATCCTTCCCCTGCTATGCCCACCAAGCCACACCCACAGAACTGGTAATAAAAAAAAATTGGATTTCACCACTGATCTCAAGGCCAGCAGGCCAGATCCAGCCAGCGGGGTGCTTAGATCTGGGCCATGAGGCCGCCCTGGAACCAGCGAAGGACTGGCCCGCCGCGGTGGCCCCCGTTTTCACTGGCAGAGGGCTAGCAAAACAAACTAAAAGCAAAACAAAACAAAGCAAAAGGAGAAATGTTTCCCCTTTTGCATTTGAGCCTGCAAGAAGGGACAGGAAAGGAGAAAGGGAAAGAGGAAAGTCAAAGAAAAAGGTGGGAAGGTGGGAAGAGAGTGAGGAAGGAAAAAGAAGGAAAAGGGGGAAGGAAGAAGAAAGGAGAATGAAGAGGGAAGGAAAAAGAAAGAAAAGGAAGGAAGGCAGGAGGGAGGGAGAGAAGGAAGGAAGGAAGGAAGGAAGGAAGGAAGGAAGGAAGGAAGGAAGGGAAGTCCTGCTTTAGCACTTGGCCACCAGCAGAGGACAAGGGTTTGGCGCTTTCCCTGGACTTGCCTTCCTCCTCTAGAGACGATGAATCCCCCCAGCCCCGCCCGGGTTACCAGAAGAGCCCCCGACATGAGTGATGTTGAGATGGCCACACCTACCCCAGCCACGCCCCCCCCTGTCCCCCTCTCGAGATCTGTTGTGACTCTGACCCCCGAGCCCGTCTTATCAGAGGGAGAAGACTCCGAAAGTGAAGGAGAGGCGTTGGCAAGGCCTCCCTCTCCAGGATCCTCCTCTCTGGCAATGCCTCAGGTGTCCTCTGAAGGCCAAGAGATAGGCCAGGAGCCAGGCACTTCTGAGCAGCCGCAGTTAGACGGTGACGGAGATAAGTCTTGGCTGGATCCCCGACAGCGTCGGAAAGACAAGCGCGCGCAGCAGAGAAGGAGGCGTGCCAGAGATTAAGCTGAGTCACTGGACCACACCCCACACGGTATAAAAGGGGGTGTGGTGGCCATTCAGGCCTTGTGATGGACAAAACTGAAAAGCTAGCAAGTCATACTGCGTTTCTGGAACTTTGTTATATGCCCTCCTTGGATTTATTATCGACTGAACTTGACAATTCTTTGGCTTTGTGGACTTATTTTGGTTTATCGGACGGAGGAGAAAAACCTCCCTTTGTGAGTAAAGTTTTTGGCAGGCAGCTACTGGGTTGCTGCCAATTCTGTTATCTCAAAGGAATTCCTGACTGCTGGTTTTATTAACTCCTGGCTGACTGTTTGTGTGCGTGTGTGAGACGGGGACAGAACAAGATCAAGCCCTCCTCAACGAAATCGAGTTTGACACTCCTGTTTTAAATCCTTGTTACCATTTCCCATCTTACAGCAAGCTTCCCTATAAAAATCTATCTTTTTTTCTAAATTTTAGAGTTTAATTCTAAACCCACCTGCATTCTGGGATATCAGAATAAAATCTGCTTTGTGTGTTAGTCTGGACTTTACTACATTCTTTTTTTAAAAAAATATTTTATTCGTTTTAAAAGTAAAACAATGGACATTGCTGGTTTCTAACATTTGCGTCAAATTCAAGTGAATCAGTAATATATTCCTTAATCTATATACAAATTTACACATCTCCTATTTCATTATATATCAAATATACGGTATTTTACTTCCTTTACTACATTCTTGTTTTTTTCCCCTCGCTCAGTAAAATTTTTCTTATTTGGGACAGATCAACGCAGAGAAAAAAACCAGACAGGATTGCAGAAAATTAACCCACTTTCTGTTTGACATTTTCATCCTTTTAACAGAAATCCCACTTCAAGATGCCAAGGCAAATTCTAACTCTTTTTTTAAAGGTTGTTTGCATGTCAAATGGGAGAGAAAAATGCAACTTTGCTAAAGCTTAAAGCTTCCAACTTGGCAGCTTTAAGACTTGTGCTTTAAGCATAGCTGGCTGAGAGTTGAAGTCCACAAGTCTTAAAGCTGCCAAGTTGTAAGACCTCTGGCTTAAAGCCTTAACCCGTTTCACAAGCTGAATGCATTTCAGGGGGGAAAAAAATAACGATCAGCAAGTTCAACGCAGTTTCCTCTCTAACAACCTAGAATTGCAAGCAAAAACTCCATCCAGCTTAATTGTGGTAATTTGTAAGGGGCTAATGTTTACCGAGAGCTTTTAATCGGAGAACTACCTCTTTTGATTGTGTTGGTGCACCATTATGATTAATTGCACGTTGAGTGTTAATGCCGTTTTGTGTTCCTGTTCTAAAAAAGGTTGTTGGATAATACAAGTTGGTCATTTCCAGGGCGTCGGATAAATTGTGGGTAACTCACAATTGACAACTCACCCGTTTTGTGTAGCCCATGGCCTTCAGAATGGAGAGATTGAGCGTTTCCAAGGACGCCAACACATCTTCATAATCTCCCATGTGGTCAGCAAAGTAATCTGGAGACCGGGAAGAGAAAAATCCACAAGTCTTAAAGCTGCCAAGTTGGAAGACCTCTGGCTTAAAGCCTTAACCCGTTTCACAAGCTGAATGCTGTTAGGAATAAGACTATTACCTAACTTGTTGGGTTGGCAATATATAAACCATCAATGTATGTTTGCAGTATATTGCAATTGTATTGTATAGCTCAGTGGTAGGCAAACTTGGCTCTTTCACACCCTGTGGACTTCAACTCCCAGAATTCCTAAAACAGCCAAGCTGTCTTAGGAATTCTGGGAGTTGAAGTCCACAGGGTGTGAAAGAGCCAAGTTTGCCTACCACTGGTATAACTTTAAGACTGCTGTATTGCATCCTACTGTGTCCTGATTGGTTAGCTTTGTTGCCAATGTCCTTAAGAGGGAGCTAGAAACATGGCTTGTTCTCTTTGTTGGTCTTGCTCTCTGATATCTCTATCTGACTTGCTGTATTACTGTTTGCAACTCCAGAAGAACTGTTTACGGTGGATGATTGCTACGACTGGTATGAAGACTTTGTTTATTGGACTGTGCTTTATTTTTCCTGAACGTAAACACGACTCAGTGTATCTGTGCGGTGACTGTGCTTATTCATAACTACTCTCAACCGCATTCATGTGCACGCCCCTTGCTACTCAAGGTGTTATTCCTTAACACTGGTTATGGGCCCAGGATACTGAGAGTTAGTGTGAATACACAGTGCCATATTCAGACAGCTGTTTTTGTGGTTTATTGTCCAAGTGAAGATGGCACAAGAACAGTCAACCAGCATATCTCTGATAACCCGGTTAGATGGAACGAATTACGTTTCCTGGTCTATGAAGTGCAGCCTACTTCTGCATAAAGAAGGGCTAGGGGTATGGGCTGTAGTTCATGATCCACCGGATGTAATTGCTTGGGATCCAGCAGACGATGAAGATGCCAAGAAAATAGCCAAATTTATCCGGGATAATGAAAGGGCGGAAAAAAATAATGATGAGCAAGTTTCCTCTCTAACAACCTAGAAATAAAAGCGGGAGATCATTTCAAAGATTGCTTCAAGGTTTAATTTAATTTAATTTAATTTCGAATTTATATACCGCCCTTCTCCCTGAGGACTCAGGGCGGTGTACAGCCAAGATAAAAAACATAGAATACAAATATTAAAACATTTAAAAATATATATAAAATTTGGCCCAAAAAATTAAAAATCGCAGACTAATTAAAAGGATTTAAAAATTTTAAAATTTCTTCTTAAGCCAACCCGGCTTGCTGAAAAAGATAGCTCCCTCCATATTTCACCATCCACTTCAGAGGTGGGTTTCATATAATTTTACCACCGGTTCGCCACACACAGAAAATGTAAGCGCGTGCCTGTGCACACTCTCTTCGCTCGGCCACGCGCCTTCCGCGCATAGGGAATCACTGCAGATATTAAGTGATTCGTGCAGCTGAAAAAAAAAATCTGGCTTTCCCCACTGAAATGGTATAGGGTTTCCTGCCTAAGCAGGGGGTTGGACTAGAAGACCTCCAAGGTCCCTTCTAACTCTGTTATTCTATATAACTATCTGTAATTTGAACGCCACCATTCCCTCCTTCTGAAGGAGTCCGCTCTCTCTAATAAACTCGGATTCTTTGCTGCCACCAATTCCAACCAGAAAAAACTAAAACCAAGTGCCGTAGGCTTTTATTTTTTAAAAGAAATAAATAAAACCTGAATGGGATGTCACCACCGGCATATTCCTAACCACAAACTGACATATCTTACAGGAGTCTCCTATAAATAACCTCCAGAGACAGATTATTAATTAGCCTCCCAGGGCTTAATTAAAATGCCATATATCGGTTTGAACAGAATGCAGGATGGAAGAAGCGACAGGAACCGGTGCACAGCGGCGCTCAGCCAGGGCGAACTTCGGCTGTTTGCCGCCGATAAAAGCTCAAGGTGCCTAATTTTCAGCAGCTGCAGCCGCTTCCCCACATCGTACAACAAAAGCACAAAAAAAAAAATGAATCGCGGTGCAGAGCTGGCTTTCAAAAGAGAAATGGATAAAGTCAATCCTTCTGCAGAAAGGATAAAGCCCAAATCCCACTGCATAGGCCAGGAAGCTTCAGAAATAAAATGCTATTTGGACAAGGGTGCTCTCTATACCATCTGTCTAACTGAAATGGGATTAGGAAACCGTTTTTTTTTTTTTTGCTCCATTTTGCAAATCTAGGCTTGCATTAGGAGCTTCAAATAAGGGCTGAGAACATAGTACATAGAATAACAGGGTTACATTGGAGGTCTTCTGATCCAACCCACTGCTCAAGCAGGAAAATCTATATGACAAATGGCTGTCCAATCTCTTCTTATAAACTTCCAGTGTTGGAGCATTCACAACTTCTGGAGGCAAGTTGTTCACCTCTTTGATTCTTCTCACAGTCGGAAAATGTCTCCTTAGTTCTAGGTTGCTTCTCTCCTTGATTAGTTTTCCATCCATTGTTTCTTGTCCTGCCTTCAAGTGGTTTGGAAAATAGGTTGACCCCAGGGGTGAAATGCTACCGGTTCGGGACGGTTCGCCCGAACCGGTAGTAAAAAAAATGCTTTAAAAAGTACCAAAAAAGTTCCTACGATCGCGCAGCACAGCTGATTGTTTTTACTTTTTTAAAAGCATTTTTTTACTACCAGTTCAGGCGATAGGTAGTAAAAAAAATGCTTAAAAATGCTTTTAAAAAAAGGTTCCAACAATCAGCTGTGACAATCAGCTGTGTCCCGCAATTGTCAGAACTTTTTTTTAAAAAAAATTTTAAAGCATTTTTTTCTACCTAATTGCCACTTTTTGAGTAAAGTGTGATAGTTTGTTTTTGAGCTCTCTGTGGCTCTGTGAGGCTCCTGCTTGTTGCAGGGGCCATTTTGTGTGAAGTCCAGCTGCTTTTGCACTGCGTGCGAGTCAGTTGTGTAGCTTTTGTGTTATTTTTGTATTTTTATATTTTGTGTAAAGTGTGATAGTTGGGTTTCCCGGTCACATGACCACCAAGCCACATCCACCAAGCCACATGACCACCAAGCCACGCCCACCCAGTCACATGACCACCAAGCCACGCCCACCAAGCCACACTCACCCAGTCACACCCACAGAACTGGTAGAGGAAATTTCTGAATTTCACCACTGGTTGACCCTCTCTTTTCTTTGACAGCCCCTCAAATATTGAAAACTGCTATCATTTCACCTTTAACCCTTCTGTTTGATAGGCTAGCTAGACATACTCAGTTCCCCCAACCATCTTATGTTTTTAGCCTCCAGTCCCCTAATTATTTTTGTTGCTCTTCTCTGCACTCTTCCTAGAATCCTAGAATCTTTTTAGTATCGTGGTGACCAGAATTGGGCACAGTTTTCCAACTATGGTCTGATCGGTGTGGTATAAAGCAGTACTATCACTTTACGTGATCTTGTAACTATCCGTTTGTTGAGGCATGTTAGCATTTTTCCCAGCTACAGCACACTGCTGGCTCATACTTCAGTTCAGTTCCTCTGTTTGTTTCATGTGCTTGCATGTTACTTCCACGTAAGTAAACCTGACAGTTGCTTGAACATTGGTCTATTTCACACAACATGTTAAGACGATATTTGGAGTTCTACAACACAATACAGACTTCATATTCGTAAAATCTCTGATCTCTGTGTATTTCGCTGTGCCCTCAAAACCTTGTTGTTCTGCCAGGCTGGGCTATCAATGTAAAGATTTTAATTGGTTTTTAAATATGGGATTTTAAATTTGGGGTTTTATAATTGGGCCTATCATGTAATAATTTTAATTATTTTTAAATTTTGTTTGTCTTTGTGCTTTTAATCAGGCTGTACACTGCCCTGAGTCCTTCGGGAGAAGGGCGGTATAGAAATAAAATTAATAATAATAATAATAATAATAATAATAATAATAATAATAATAAGTGCATATATTCCTTTCTTGAGCAGTAAATACCCTGTAGGCATGTCAGCAGTATTCAGAAGAGTATTCAAAGTAAGAAGGAAGTTAGAGTTTAACAATCCCAGTCCTATCCCTGTTCTATAGACACACACAGGTACAAAGGGGTGGGGCCTGAATTGGAATGCCACACCTGTTTTGATCCCCACCCTGTCAAAATGCCACCGATTCCTGTTAAAACAGGGGTGTCCAAGGTTGGGCTGCTGGGGGTTCAGCAAAGCTGTCTGGGGAATTCTGGGAGTTGAAGTCCACCTATCTTAAAAGTTGTCAAAATTGGCCAACCCCGTATTAAAATCACAAATGGGAAACCGGCATTCATTGTGCAATCAAGACATAAAAAGGTACTCACCACACAACTCCTTGGTATCCACGTTACTTGGAAGGAAAGGGAAAGAAGAAAGAAGAAAAGAATGAGAATGCAGGGAATAAAAAAAGGGGGGGGGAAGGTAGAACATTTAACGCCAAGCAATTCACAACCAGTTCAGCCGAAAGAATTTGTGGGTGTGTTTGAAGGCGTTTAATCAATGCTGTTTTCAAGGTTTCAAAAGTCACATGCCAGGACTTTTTCAGAGAACAAGTGTTCCTAAACCGGTTTAAATTGATTTTACGATGGATACGAGCACAACAGAACCTTGTTCTCTCTGCTAACAAACTCATGAATAGCAAGATAAAAAATTAAGCGGTAAACTCTTCCCTGTGCAGATAATGCTTGCCACAATATTGCCGGAGATATACAGTTGTAGTCCTCGACCACAACTGAGCCCAAAATTTCATCAAATAAGGTGTTGGCTGGAAAAGATTTTAACATTAAAAATAAAAGTTAAACCGGAGTTTTTCTTATTAGGTATTATAGATTTATTTATTTATTTAGCGTATGGCTGGTCACACACAATATTAAAACATTTCATTTTTACAGGTTAAAAACAATTAAAACAGTAAGAAAACCTAAAAGGAAAATAGAAATAGCATCTCAAAGTATTCAAAGGTATTATAGAGGGCAAATATAACAAGAATACAATCTACCTAATATTACACATATTAACAGCAGCAAGAATAGCTTTTGCCCCAAAAATGGAAGAGCAAAGAAACCTCCTTGGAAGAAGACGTGCTAACTAAAATCCTTAATTGTGCAGAAATGGACAGACTGACCTTGGAGCTTAAGGATAAAAGTAAATCAGCGTACTACGAAATCTGGACTAAAATTTATGAATGGTTGGACAGGAAGAGGAATGGTAATATGAAGGTGTAGTGAATGTCCAGAAATGGTTATGTCAATGTATGTTAAACTTGTATGTGAGAAATGATTATATTGAGTATGGATGTAGCCAGTGGTGAAATCTAAAATTTGTTATCACTGGTTCTGTGGGCGTGGCTTGGGAGGGGTAATGTGACTGGATGGCGTGGCCATTTTTTAAAAAAACTTTTAAAACCATTTTTTCTACAACCTCCCTCCCGGCTCGGAAATGTGAACGCGCAAATGTCACCTCTGCGCATGCGCACGACCTCCTGTGCATATGCAGTAGTCATGCATTATGTCCGGGCAGGTGGGCAGAGCCTCCCACAGTCGCCGCTACCAGTTTGCATGATCCAGAAAGAACTGGCTGAATCCCACCACTGATCAGGGTTGTGTTTGACCTCAGGGGGCCGGAGTGGATGTGGCCAGCTCAACGTCACTCGTGTCGGGGGCGCCTGTGGAGGCCCCAGCGCTCTGCCAGCGAAAACAGGCTCCCGAGCTCAGTTTTTGGCTGCGATGACCTCCTGCAACTCTCGGCCAGCGAAAATGGAACTCGGGAGAGTCCGGAGCTGTTTTCGCTGGCAGAAGCACCGCAGGCTGGTCTTTTGCTATTTCCAGGGTCGCCCCACAAGCCAGATCTAAGCACTAAGGATCCAGCACCCAGGCCTTGAATTTGACACCTCTGCATTTGATAGATATGGTGTGCACCGCCCTGAGTCCTTTTTGGAGAAGGGCGGTATAGAAATTTAATTAATAATAAATAATAATAAATAAATAAATTATTATGACTAGTTTAAACTACTATGTAAAACTAAACAGTAGTTTGATGTTATTACCTTGTTCTACTGCACCAAGGGACCTGGTGGTTCAGTGGCTAAGACACTGACCTTTTTGATCGAAAGGTCAGCAGTTCAGCGGTTTGAATCCCTAGTGTCGCATATCGGGGTGAGCTCCCATTCCTTGTCCCAGCTTCTGCCAACGTAGCAGTTCGAAAGCACATAAAAAACGCAAGTAGAGAAATAGGGACCACCTTTGGGAAATGAGAAGGTAACAGTGTTCCGTGCCCCTTTGGCATTGAGTCGTGCCGGCCACATGACCACGGAGATGTCTTTGTACAGCGCTGGCTCTTCGGCTTTGAAACGGAGATGAGCACCGCCCCCTAGAGTCGGGAACGACTAGCACATATGTGCGAGGGGAACCTTTACCTTTACTGCACCAAAGGGAGTCTGAAATCAATGCCTTTTCTTTCTTTTTTTTCTCCTTCTTCTCTTCCACACTTTTCTCTTCCCCTTCCCTATCTCTCCTCCTTTTTGCTTTGGTATTTTTTTGGTGTGTGTGTGTGTGTGTGTGTGTATGTTATATCATAAATTAATAAAATTGTTATAAACACAGGAAAAAAAGGGAGAAAATTGGCGCATTCTATCTGCCAATTAGAAGGACTCCGTAGGTGGGCAAAAAATGCCGACTCCAGTCTAAACAATACAGGGAGGCCAGATGTGTGAATGTGGACTCTAATTGTCTCCAGTCTAGACAGAAAATAAACCAATCAGCGGTGTCAAACCTTTGAGGTAAGTCAGATCAAGTCACCACAGGGATTTCAGGAAATCCGCTTTGTATTTGTAGAGAATTGCAACAGAATCTGGAAAGGTTTTTTTCTCTGTCCCAACAAAATGAATGCAGTTAGTCTAAGCTTCTTTCTTGTGCTCCTTTCTATTCCTGGATTGTATATTCCCTTGTCCAAATACCCCTTACTGGCATTTTTGTACATCCCGCCCCCCCAAAGTCAGCTCTAAATTCCTTTACAGTGGGGCATTTTTGCTGAACTTCTCAGTCTCTTCAAAGTGAGCTGTGCTTGGTATTATCTTTGATGACTTTTGAGGATTAGGTAAAAGTTCCAAACATTTTTAATCATTGAATCCATATATTAAGAGCCTTGGTGGCGCAGCAGACTAAAGTGCTGTTAAGTAGCACCAGCTGCCTGCAATTACTGCAAGTTCAATTCTCACCAGGCTCAAGGTTGACTCAGCCTTCCATCCTTCCGAGGTAGGTAAAATGAGGACCCGGATTGTGGGGGCAATAAGCTGGCTTTGTATAAAAAAGAACACCGCTGGAGGGGGGGCGCGAAAGCCCTACTAAGCAGGTATATACAAAAGTATGAAGGCAATTGCTTAATGCATTGTAAGCAGCCCTGAGTCTCCGGAGAAAGGGCGGCATATAAATTGAACCAATAAATAAATAATAAATAAATATTGCTTTTCATACATAGACCCGTGGTGGCGCAGTGGTTAGAGTGCAGTACTGCAGGCTAACTCTGCCCACAGCCTGGAATTTGAACCTGACCAGGTCAAGGTTGACTCAGAATTTCTATCCTTCTGAGGTCAGAGGACCCAGATTGTTGGGGGTGAAATGCTGACTCTGTAAACTGCAGAGAGAGGGCTGGAAAGCACTGTGAAGCGGTATATAAGTCTAAGGGATATTGCTATATGAGAGCCCTGGTGGCGCAGTGGTTAAAACGCAGTATTGCAGGCAAACTCTGCCTCCAGCCTGGAGTTCAATCCTGACTGACTCAAGGTTGATTCAGCCTTTCAGCCTTCCGAGGTCAATAAAATGAGGACCCAGATTGTTGGGGGAAATAGGCTGACTCTGTAAACAGCTTAGAGAGGGCTGTAAAGCACTGTGAAGCAGGATATACATCTAAGTGCTATTGCTAAGTTTCTCTGTGTCTGTCTGTTTATTATCTATCTATCTACATCTACATCTACATCTATCTATCTATCTATCTATCTATCTATCTAATCTATCTCTATCTATCTATCTATCTATTTATCTATCTATCTATCTATCTAATCTATCTCTATCAATCCATCCATCCATCCATCCATCCATCCATCCATCCATCCATCCATCTATCTAATCTATCTATCTATCTATCTATCTATCTATCTATCTATCTATCTATCTAATCTATCTCTATCTATCTATCTATCTATCTATCTATCTAATCTATCTCTATCAATCCATCCATCCATCCATCCATCCATCCATCTATCTATCTAATCTATATCTATCTATCTATCTATCTATCTATCTATCTATCTATCTATCTCTATATCTAATCTATCTCTATTGTTTATTTTTGTTTTAGAGTTAAAGTATATTGCTCAAAAAAATAAAGGGAACACAAGATCTGTGTTTGAGATCTGAATGAATGAAATAGCCTTATTAAATACTTTGTTCTTTACATACAGTAGTTTATACACTGCTCAAACAACTAAAGGGAACACAAAACTACTGTATGTAACGAACAAAATATTTAATAAGGCTATTTCATTCATTCAGATCTCGGATGTCTTCTGCTTGTGTTCCCTTTATTTTTTTGAGCAGTGTATATTGTGTGTTAATCCTATATTTTAATGCTTTTAAAAATTTAGCTGGCTTGGTCATTCATCTTCCTCGTATGAAGTTCATTTTCACCCCCATACAAGCCCACCCAATTATTTCACTTGGCACTCAATTTGCGATAAAGAGAGTTTCTTTATCGACTCACTCCCTGACAAGCCTATTTTCACCTCCCTTTGCTCGTGTTTTTACACAATCTTTTATCCCGATAAGGCTTTCAATGCTGGCTGTGATTGACAGCTCTGTCTTGCTCAGTAACTTCCAATCCATCTGTTTTTTAAAAAAGAAAAAGAAAAAAAAGAAAAAAAATCCTTTCATTTCACCTGCAAGTTCTTTTTCAGATTTAACTCTTTCTTCCAACCTTCCTCCTCCTGTCATAAAGAATGAGAAAAGCTTTTGGAAAGCTGCAAACCTCCACTTTTCACGAGCAAATTCACGAGCAAATTTCACGAGTAAAATGTTGTCGAAATGCTGAAGCATGCAAAGGTACCTCGATACCTAAATCAATCCATCTAACCTATTTAGCCAGAACGATTCGAACCACGAAAGAAGAAGGAACTGCTTCATCAAATTCTTCAACAAAATGACAAGCTGAAGAAGCCATCCATAAACGGCAGAAGACTCGATACTATCTGCTGAAGAACAGAAATAATTCCAGAAAAATTGAGAAAATCACAGTCGGCCACCTGGCTGCCAATTCTAACTAGTGAAATTTTCTTCTTCTTCTTTTTTTTTTTATTGA